ATTCGCCAAGAGCTATTTTGGAGCCCGGCCGGAGAAGCCCAGAACCAGAACTGGCTTCCTCAAGCAGCTTCTAGCTGGGTGAAGACCCATGGAAACACCTTGGTCTGCAGTGAGCCCAATGAGTCTAGTCTCAGAGCAGGCCTGCTAAAGTTATCAACTACTCCCCCTTAAAGTAACAGCTAGCTTGCTGGGATACAGTGGCACAACTCAGGACTCTGTCTCCATAGACGGTGGACTAGTAAACCCAGAGAGGATCATGGAAAGGGGCTCTTTTCTTTCTGTTTATCTTATCTCTTTTCTTGTTTGTTTTGTTTTATTCAGTTTCTTTCTTTCTTTTTTTCTTTCTTTCTTTCTTTCTTTCTTTCTTTGTGTGACAGTGGTTCCTATCCTCCGTGGTTGTGGTTCTCCTTTGTTCTTTTATCTCTTCCACATCTCTTTTCTTTCAATTTTCTGCACCAGTTTCCCCAAGTTGGCAGGACCCATCTTTGTCCTCCAAACTTACTTGTAATCTCTTCCTCTTTTTCTACTTCTCTATTTTCTCCTTAATCCATTTTTAAATTTTAACCCTGAGGGAAAATTCAACACATTACAGACTTACACACTGCATATAATTACCTGTTCGTTTTACATTTTATTAGATAATCACAAATCTAGATCATACTGTTAAAAGTTGCAAATGATTAAAAAAAAGTTGCAAATTAAGGATTAGCTCAGTTTGTTGTTTTATAGGCTGTGTTGATGCTATTGGTACCGCTACAGCCAAAATTGACATAATTATGCTAAACAGCTGTTGGCCCAGATAATCTATGTCTGAGATTAACTAAAGATCACAGAAAATACTATGACACAGTGCCAAAGAGCCGGAGACTTGGCCAAGCAAGCAACAACTTCTCATCTCCAACAAACTGAAGAGGCAAGATCTTCCAACAGACTCAAAACCCAAAAACCAGCTACACCTAGAAGATACCTCAGAGAAGTAGTCATCACCTGAGGGTCCTAAACTACCAATAAAGCAACCCACCATGGGCAATTCACAAGCATCACCCCAGGAATTAACTAAAAAAGAAAAGAAATGAAGAGACGCTTAAACAAGATGCAACCCCAGACAGCCAGTTCACCAAAGGCAAACCCAGGGGGCAGTAAAGTGGAACAATCCAAAAGCTCCCCACCAGGTCTCTCCAAAGTGGAAACAACAAAACAATTGAATGAGGCTCTAGAAAAAAATGAAATCAGAAATACTCTCTCAAATAACTACAGAGATTACCAAAATACACAACATGCTTAGCGATGTTAGAGCAGACACAGATAAAAAAAAATTGATGCGCTTAAGCCAAATTATGGAAGTGTAGCATGGGAAACAAATGGAATCCATAAAGCAGATTCAAGCAGATATACAGGAGAATAAAAACTCCACTGAAAGTGTTCAAAGCAGATTAGGCCAATAGGAGAACAGGATCTCAGATATTGAAGACAAGCTTGCAGTTAGTGACCAGAAAAGATTTCTCAAAACTACCAAGACATCACGAGAAATCAACCCAGCACCTGCTAGATGAGACAAAGAAGAATAATTTAAGATTAACTGGAGTCACTGAACAAGCAGGAGATACCACAAGTAACACTGAAAACACATTCACAGACATTGTGACAGAAAAATTTCCTGGTAGAGAAAAAGAATTAGACACACAAATAAGTGAGGCATATAGAACTCTAATTAGCAATAACCAAACAAAATCTACATCCAGGCATATCATAGTCAAGATTCCAGAAACTCAACACAAGAATAGAATCTTAAAAGCTGTTAGGAAAAAAAAATAAATCACCTCTCAAGGAAAGTCCATCAGAATTACAGCTGACTTCTCAGCACAAGCTCTCAAGTCAAGGAAATCTTGGAGTGAAGTACTGCAAGTTCTAAAGGAAAACAACTTTCAATCCAGAATGGTATATCCCACAAAACTATCTTTCAAAATTGATGGAAAGATGAGACACTTCCATGACAGGGAACATTTGAGGAAATTTATGACCACCAAACCAGTATTCCAAAATGTTCTGAAGGACTTTCTAGAAAGAGATAATAAGGACTACAGCTCCATGAACCCCAACAGAAGGAATCCACCAGCAAAGGCAAACAATTAGAAGGAAGGGAAAAAAAAACAAACAGGGAGGGAGCCAACAATTGGAAAATAAAATGACAAGGCTAAGTCAATACATTTCAGTTACAACTATCAATGTTAATGGTCTCAATTCACCAGTCAAAAGATACAGACTGACAGAATGGATCAAGAAGCAAGATCCAGCATAAGCGCCTGCCTTGCAAGCAGGCAGTCGTGAGTTCAATTCCTGATACGAATAAAAGGAAAAAGACAAAAAAAGAAGCAAGATCCAACAATATGCTGCATACAAGAAATACATTTTATTCAAAAAGAAATTCATAAACTAAAAGTCAAAGGATGGAAAACAATACTCCATGCAACAGGAACCCAGAAAAAAGCAGGGGTAGCTATGCTATTTGTAGACAAAATGAATTTTAAGCCAAGATTAACAGAGATAAAGACACTCACTGCTTTCTCGTAAAGGGAACAATCCAAGAGGAAGGGATAATAATCATAAGTATATATACAACAAATACCAGTGTACCCAGCTATATAAAACAATTACTAACACACATGAAAAATGAAATAAGCTCTAATATAATTGTATTGGGAGACCTCAATACCCCGTCACAAAAAGACACATCGACTGGACAAAAAAAGCAATGATGAAATGCTAGAACTAAACCAAACTTTTGAACAAATGGACTTAGTAAGATGTCCATAGCTTTCCACCCTACAACATCAGAATACACATTCTTCTCAGCTGTACCCAGTTCATTCTCCAAAACAGACCAGATACTGGCTCACAGAACATACTTAAGTACGTGTAAAGGAATTGAAATTATCCCATGCATTCTATCAGACAAGAGTGCAACAAAACTGGAACTCCATGCCAAAGGAACCCATCAGAACTTTGGAGGGGCTGTGGGGAAAAAGGAAACCTTCTTCACTGTTGGCGGGAACGCAGACTAGTGCAACCGCTGTGGAAATCAGAGTGGAGATGCCTCAAAAAACTAGGACTAGAGAGTTCTCATTTAACCTAGCTATTCCTCTTCTGGGTATCTTCCCAAAACATCATACCACAGTGATATATATGTACCCATGTTTATAGCAGCACAGTTTGTAATAACCAAATCTTGGAAACAACCTAAATGCCCACTGACTGAGAAATAGAGAAAAAGATGTAGTTTTATACAATGGATTACTACTCAGCCATAAAGGAGGAAAAACGAGACTTTTATAGGTAAATGGATACAACTTGAGAACATACTCATTAGTAAAACACATGAGACACATATGTGCAAACATCATATTGTTTCATTAGTGTGACAAGCTGAAAGAAAAAACATGTACATGTGTATGTATATTTAAAAAATTAAGATAGTTATACTACTGATTTCTCTGAGTTTGCTGAAGACAAAGATTTATGCTGGTATTGTTCAGACAATTCAATGTGAAAGTCTTGTGCTCTGGGTGAATGATTTGGGGATGACAATGTGCAGTGTAGGTACTGTTGTCCTCTGATTGATGTCTTTCAAATTTTTGTTATAGTTTTTCTTTTCTTTCTTTTTATTCTTGAAATAAGATGGATTTGGAAAATAAGCATCCTCGGTATTGACAGGTGGTACTATTATTTTTGTTACAGTTAGGAAAGTGAGAAATCCTTAACTGGCTACAAAACAATAAAATAAGAAACAGCATCAACAGATCAGAAATTAAGGTATTCAGGTAAAACCTAAAAGCTGATAAGATGCAATGACATGGAAAGAAACCTTCAAACACCTAGCGTCCACATCCCCAGTAGAGGTCACTGTGAAGATAAAAGTGATTCTCTCTGTACTCCAAATTCAAAATCTGGAGCATAGAAAAGCAGAACTTAGAAAAAGGTCAAATCTTTTCCTCCTAGCTTTGAGCACTTCCCTCCTCGAATTCCTCCTCCCTGTAGGTTCCTGACCTCTACTACATATATATTAGGTTAGCAGCTACATTCCTGTAAATGGAGTCCTTTGATTTCCTGTTTCTCAGAAATCTGCCTACCTTCAAGGCTGACCTCAGGCCTGCTGCTGGTGAACATGACAACTGTGCCCTGTGACATCCTGGAATCTGCTTTCTTTCAGGAGATGCAGATAAGATTGACAATTATGTCTCTGTAACTCAGGCCTCTGACATCCTGGAATTGCTGATGTCTTATTCCGAGGTGGCCACTGACTGAATAACAGCCTCTGTCTCAGCTTCTGTAATTTCGCTTGCTCCTCGCTTCAGGTTTGTGACAATCCCTTCAACAAAATGTATAAAAACAGGAGCTTCTGCTTTGTTTGAAGCTCAGTCTTCTAGACAGGACTTTGCTGAACCAGGTATACATCTAATGAATCCTCCTGATTCACCAATGGTCTCTTCAGTCTCTTGAATTATGCAACAACAGGAGGCAGACCTGGGACTCCTCAGGAGAGATCATGTGAGTTTTCTGAATCTCAGTAATTTCCTCTGTAGCCTCTTACTTAGAAGTAAGCACAGCGATAGCAGCTTTGTAATACTAAGCTAAACTTAGAGACTTTGGGGGGGCTGCAACCTCACCATCAAGGTTGGGGACCCCCACAAGTGAGAACCTACAACATACTTTTGCGTAGATAACTCACACTCCTTCCTGTCGCCAAAGAAAAGCTCTCATAATCACAGCTTGTGTTCGCCAAAAAGCAAACTAAAGCCAAGATTATAAAGTACGCAAGTAAGCAGACAACTCCAAACCATCAAGCATTTCAGGAAGCTAATACCATGAAAGAATTACTGAACTCAACAATATAGCTAATACTAAAGAAAAGTGAGCATGTAATTAATATCTTTAGGAGTAAGAGAGACAGTATTATCTCCTTGAAAATAGGCAATTATAAAATCAAATGCTGTGGCACATACCCGTTATGTTTTCAAGAGGCTAAGACAGAAAGGTAGAAAGTTCAAGGCCGACTCAGCAACTAAGATCCTATATGAAAAAAAAAAATCTAAAAGGGTGGGGATGTAGGTCACCGGTAAAGCAATCCTGGGTTAAACCTCCAGCACTGAAAAAGAAAAAAAATGTTTAAACCCAAGGAAGGGTGGAATGACTGAAGTTCTCCTTTAACAAAGAAGGTCAACGGCCAGGCATGGTAGTACACACTTGCAATCCCAGCACTCAAAGGGAAACTGAGGGGAGGACCACTGCGAATTCAAGGCCAGTCTGGGCTACAAAGTGAGTTCAAGGCCAGGCTAAACTGCACAGTGAGACTTTGTCCCAAAAAGAAAAGAAAAAAAAAATTTATACTTGTCAAAAACACTGTAAAGAAAACCAAAACAAACCAGATTAGCAGAAGACTTTTGCAATCAGCGAGCAAACACAGTCTAGGAAGCAGCACCATGCACAGAGCCCCACAGGACAGGAACAGCCAGACCCCAGCCTCTCCCCATGGGTTAGCACCATGTGTGGAACAAAGTAGAGAGAACAAAGCACACATCAGCGAGCAAACCCAACCTGGGAAGCAGCACCTTGGGAAGAGCCCCTCCAGACTGCAACAGACAGACTCCAGCCCCTTCCAGCCTACAGGCTGGCAAACAAGCAGCAGCATCCCACAGCCACCCCCAGCTGTAAGAAACTGGCTTATCCCGAGAAATACAGGCTGTGATGATGGCTACGGAGGTGACATGCAATTGAATGCTTTGGTATTTCACTACTATTGCAGGTCTATGGCCAGTGATCAATCATGGCGGGGCGGGGGGGGGGGGGGCTCCTTCTGAGGGTTGCAGCCATTGTTGATTCCCTATGGTGTTGTTTTGAGGTCCTATATCATTTCCATTGTTTTGTTGGGTTGGGTTTTATTCTCTCTTATTTTATTTGATTATGTCAAACCTGATGGCAGGAGCAGCTGTCTCAATGATAGCAAGATATATTATGGTAGCAATTTGGGATTTACTATTGGCTTGTTCCAAAGTCCTCTATTGTATTCATTGTCATGTTTCTATTATTTCTATTCTATTCTTTTCTGCTTGATTTTTACTATGACCAAAGTTACCTGCAGTTATTTTGAAGACATCAAAAGGCCTTAGGGTAACTACTGTTGATTTTGTAATGCCTTTAGGCCTGTACCTCTTACACTGGTTTGTTTTAATTGGTTTTATTGTTTTACCCTCTTTAAAATTAAAAAAAAAAGTTTGCAAATCACAAATAGTCTATGATAAAAAAAACTTGCAACTAAATATACAAAAAGTATTTAGAATCCAGTAAAAAAAAAAAAAAAAATACCAAGTGAAAAAATGGGCAAAAGAGATGAACAAACTCCATCAAAGATGTGTAGATAGCAAATAAGGACATCAAAAGGTATTCACCATCACCGTCATAAGAGAACTGCCATCGAAACAAAGACAGCACTCAACATCTATTAGACTGGCTGCCACCCAACAGCCGGACAGCACAGACACTGAGGAGAGGCAGAGCAGTGTCAGCTCTCATCCGCTTTTGGGAGGAATGCAAACATAGCTCTGTCAAGGCAGAACACAGCTAGGGCATCTTTAAGCTGAACATAATCTTCTCCTCCCAATCTATCACTCAAACTTACTCATTTGATCTGAAAACCTATGTCCACACAAAAACCTGTAGGCAGATGTTGGTAACAGCTTTTAAGTACATCCTCAAAATTGTAAACAACCAAAACGCCCTTTGATAGGAAATTTGATAAACCGCTATATCCATGTAATGGAACACTGTGTTCAGTGACTTAAAAAAAAAAGTCCTTTAGTTAGCAAAAGTGCCTGCTTGGCAAGCATGAGGTCGTAAGTTCAATCCCTGGAACCAAAAAAAAAAAAAGTCAAACAAGACTGACTTAACTAAATATTGCTAAGTGGAAAAAAAAATTCTGAAAAATCCACATCCAATGTGATTCCAAATATATCATATTTTGGTAAAATAAAGAGACAGTAAATAATGGGTAGTTGCCAGGGTTTCAGAAAATGGAAAAAAAGATGCTGTATTTCCAAAAGAACTGAAAACTTATGTTCACATAAAAATTCATACATTAATTTTTATAGCCACATAATAGGCAAAACTTGGAAATAACACAAATGTTCACCAAGTGATAAACTCACACAATATTATTCATCTTTGATGAATAATGAAATGCAAAAGCAATACTAAAGCACATTATAACATGGATGAATCTTACAAATATTATGCTAACAGAAAAGACAACACGAAACAGAGTCCTCCAGAAAAATGTATACATCAGGAAAATAAAAACTTGCATAAATACTTTAATACTAAATTTACTGAAACATTATGAGATTATTGTTACCTTTGGCTTCTACAATTAAAAGAGGTGCTCAAAGTGATGGCCATTAGCTTATAGTCATTCATTAGTATGGCAAACTGCTGAACCATGTATACTTTTTTTGGTGAACCCTGCATGTGATTATCACTATGATTCCATTTACATGAAATGTCCAAAGTAGGCAAAATTCATGAAAGGTGGTTATGGTTGCCAGGGATTAGAAAGAAGAGGAAATGTAGTTATTACTACTAATGACACACTGTCCCTTTTGGGAGATTAAAACATGCTAGAGTTGGAGAGTCATGATTAGCTATGTACACAACTGCCCTAGTTATCTTGTCATTGCTGAAGCACAATAATTACCTGACACCCACAACTATAAGAAAAAAAGGATTCTTTTAGCCCAAAGGTCTCAGTCCATAGCTGGCTGGCTCTCACTACATTGAGCTTGATAGATAGTCTAGGTTCTCCCTAGAACTCCTAATAGTCTGATAATATGATAATAATATGCTTTGATAATCCAAAGCAAATGAAAGAAAATCAAATGTTACTGAGAATGTAGAAAAAGAGCCTGTAAATTGTCGGGAATGTAAATTAAAACAGCCATCATGAAAAATACAGCAGTTCCTCTAAAAATCAAAAACAGTCCCAGAGAACCAGCCACGTTGGAACTTGGGGGACTGAGCAAGAAAGCAAAGAGCCCTCCTTCCTGGTAAGCAAGCAGCAGTGTGAGCCAGCAGGGGACTCGCCAGCCAGGAAGAGGACAAGTCAGCATCTCCCATGAGCCTACCAGCACTCGGGCTGAAAATCAAACCTTGTCCTCACTGTCGTCCTCCTCGCGTCCCCAGCCCCCACGTTGGTCAGTAGGAGCTGATAGCAACTAAGGTACATAAAGCAACTAAATGCTTGTATTGTTTAGTTTATTATGCTGACATGCGGCCAGAGGTCTGAGCATCTCTTGGGAGGAAGACCATATGCAGTATAGCAAGTATGGGGGATTTCCTTCTATCTTTTCTTTGAAGGCAAATACTGTTTTCACTGTTTCGCTTTGTTCTAATTATTTTACTCTGTCGATGTCGCTCCCCACCGGCAGGAAGGACACACGACAAAGTCTGGCAGTGGACAACCTTTTTTTTTATTTTTTCTCCGTACAGCCTGCCCTGGGATCGCTCCCAGCCAAAGCCTCCTCTGGTCCGCTCCCCGCGGCTCCTTTTGTGCTTCGCTCCAAAGCCTCTATCGGTCCGCTCTCCGCGGCTCCTTCCGGGCTTCTCTCCGAAGCCTCTACCGGTCCGCTCTCCGCGGCTCCTTCTGGGCTTTTACTTCCCCCCAGGGGTGGCACCAGTATATATACAGATACAGTGTCCAATCATATTAAAGTAAGCAAGGCAAGCTGATTGGCTAACATATTATTGAGCGGGTTGTTTATGCGGTAAGCAGAAAACTAACGTGCTCGATGGGAGGGGTAATCTAACTCAGGCTTTGCTCTTTTCTACAGGCCTCACGTCCGCCAAGTAAGGCGACCGGGCTCGGGGCTGCGGCTCCCAACATCTCCCCCTTTTTTATTTTTTTTATAAATGTGCGCATCGTAGCCCTTCCTGGACTGGGTGCAGAGGCTTATGCCCTATGCGTAGGCCCACCGTAGGTCCTTGGCTTAGACCCTGGTCGGCCGTCCCATGGTCTGCCAAGGCCCTGAGGCCCTCGTCCTTTTTTTAGGGCCAGGCACAAACTGGACGGAACCTGGATGCACACAAGCTTGCACTCATTTCCTCTCCGTAAAGAAATCCCCTCGGAGAGAAATTTAGACCTGGGCAGCATCTAACAGTCCAGCGGCTTACGTGCAGGATGGGGTAGGGCCTGGCTTAGGTTGAGTCATGCTGGGGAGGCATGCTCTTACCCGTCATTGACTCATCTACCCTGCTATATCATAATTTTTTAGAGGAGGAGTGTGGGAAGCTCACCGTCCCTAGACTCGGTCGTAGGCTAGGCGAGCGAGCCATGCATATGCCTGAGGATCTTTTTGTCCATTTTGGGCTACCGCTATTTTTATTTATCTTGTTGGTTGGTCTGTGATGGATCTCCGGTAGGGCAGGTCTGATCTTTAGTCGAGGGCTTTGTCGCCCGTGTCAGTCTCTCCGGTACCCACAGTGGTTCTCGTCCCGATTCCTGCAGAAAAACACAAACCGCGCCTCGGTTCCAGCTGATTACCGGATCCGGGCCCATCCATTGTCATGCCATAGATAACCGCGCCTTTGGAGGCAGGCCTTGGCTTACTCCCCCTTTTTGTTTTTTATTTTTTATTTTTTATTTTTATCTTTTTTTTTTTTTTTTTTTTTTTTTTATTGGTACCAGGGATCGAACTGGCGATTGCCTGCTTACAAGGCAGGCGCTTATGTCGCTAAGCTAAATCCCCAGCTCCCATTTTTTCGACCGGCGTTTTTTTCAGCCTGCTCGGCAGAGAACTCTGTGTACCAGGCTCGCCAATCTAGGTAACTACCCGAGGGCAGACACGCCTTTGCCAGCTGAATCCAGTCCGCGGGGGTGAGGGGCCCAGAAGACAGGTTCTCCAGCATGGCAATGGTGTAAGGCGCAGTCGGCCCAAAGGTTGTAACTGCATTTTTAAGTTTTTTAATCTGTTTTATCTCAAAAGGCTCTCATGCATTACGTCCCTGGCCCATAGCTACTTGTACAGGAAATATCCCGTAGGGGCCACTATCTATCCCAGGTGGTGGATGTACCTCATGAGACAAACGTCCCCCCTGCCAAAGCCGCCTGTAAAAATACCGACCCGCCGGCGGCGGAGCATAAGACGGCGGCCGTGATTGGGCGGAAAATGGGGGCCCGTGCATCACTTCCTGTTCTGGCGAAAGGGGAGGGAGCTCCCACGCGGCCGCCTCGTGGCGAGGGATCGCTTCCGGAAACAGCCCCCAAGGTGGGGCGGAAGGCTTCGCCTCCCTCTCGCGCCAGGGGGCGCTCAGGAGCTCTCTACTCCTCCGCAGACCAAGTTGAGCGGAGCGCAATTCGCGGTGCAACGCTGGGAAAGAACCCTGCGACTCTTTATCGAGCGGCCTATCCTCTTGGCATCTAGGCTCTTTGGTCTCATCGTTGTCTAAGCCTTCCTCGTTCTCGGAGTCAGACGACTCCGAGGCCTGAGCCCCGTCTTTCTCTTTTATATCTTTGTCTCCTTTGACGGACCCCTCCCGGGAGCTCCCTGACTGGGCCTGTTTGAATGCCCTACGCACTTTAATGAGCTCTTGAGAACCTTTCCTGCAACCACCCTCGCTCTTCAAGCATGCATATATCATTTCCCACAGTGGCCGAGCGAAGACCAAAGCCCCGCCCTCCCTTTCCGCTAGAGAAAGATCCCTGCCCAACTTCTCCCACGAGGGCAGGTTTAAGTGCCCTGTGGGCAAGAACCAGGGAGC